TACATTTCCATGTCATAAATATTAAATTTTAGGATAAATTTATGACACCCCTTGAGTTTATGTTTATTACCGTTCCCTCATTACCTTTTGAAAATTACATCCCCCTCCCTGAGGTTTTAAAGTTTCATTACAGATTGCCCCATGATGTTAAAGTTATAACAGTTCCTCCTCACTATTAATGATTCATCATACATAAAATTAAATTAAACAGAGGTCAGTGGCAATTTCTCAATGTGAGGGGAAACTGTTAATAAACAAAACCTACAGGAGGTGTCGGTGTAATTTTACCCAAATTTATATTTTTTTTAATTTAGTGATTGTTTTAGAAAATTAAAAAATATTTTCCTTCTAAGTATATGTAAATTATTTGAATTTAAAAAGTAAAAAAAAATTATTTAAAAAAACTTACGCCACACTCCTCTCATTCATAGATCCACACATTTTGGCCTCGTTTGGGAAGTTGGCTATTTTAGTAGGCTATTTTAATTTTTTGGCTATTTTAGTAGGCTAAAAATATTTGTATTGGGAAGAGAGTTGGATTTTTTTGATAGTTGATATGATATTTGTGAGAGAAAATTGAAAATAGTATTAGATTTAATATGAATTTTAATCTTAGGAAAAATTAGTCTTAGGTCCCTCCCCCACTTTCGTAAATGGAAGAGATCCACAAAATTATTTTTTGATGTCTAAGGTCCCTAAACATTTATCAGAGAAATTTGACTCTTTGCCCATGATTTCCTCTCTCTTCTTTCTCTCCTACAACCAAATGAAAAAAGCTTCAAGATCTTCCCCTACCCCCAAATCCCACCCCTTCGACAACCGTCCTCCTCACAGTTCCGTTGATCGAAGATTGGCTTTCTATACAAGCAGCGGCAACCTGATGAGTTTTTCCATCTCAGCAAGAGAAGTCGCAGCGGCGGCTCGCAATCTCCGGGATCAAATTAATCGGTTTCTCTTTTCTCAAGAAACCGCTGTCGGCCAGCTGCTGGCAGGAGGCGAACGAATGCAAAATTCGGGATGATTTTTGTAATGAAGATCTGGTGGCATATTTGGTGCTACTAAGAATGGTTGTAAATAGAAGATCTTGGTGCAGATTTTGGTGAAGATCTGATGAAGATCTGGTGCATGATTTGAGTGTTGTGTTTTTTTGGCTCTGAGAATGTGTTTTACCACACTCCACTCGGCAAGGAGAGAGTAGGCTCGTAGGGCTCAAGGATCCACAGTGACTGTTTGGTCCTGCAGGGACACACACATCTGGAGCAAAAATACTATTACAAAGCACCGCCTCTCTGTGTTCAAATTTGAAGCTGCCAAGCTCCATTCACAATCCCAATTCCCTCCCAAATGTTTTTTTTCTCTTTTTGTCAAACTCTCCCAATGTTCAAGGTTATATATAGTTCCAGGCTTCATTCTATATTCTTTAGTTTTTATTACCCATATATATATCTCCCTAATATATGAGGAAAAGGATCAACCTAGTGAAATTTATTGAGACAAGTCAGTGAAATTTCAAAAAAACAAACTTCAGAGGAAATTTGTTTATATATATGTTATATATAGGTTGCTTATTGTTGCTTATTCACTACAAATGAAATGATCTTCTCTCTCTGCTTTGAACTGAAATTTCTCTTAAGATTGATAAGAGAAATTCTTGTTTGAACTAAAATTTTCTGTTGGTTGCGTCCAGAGAAATTTTCGGGACTTAAACTGAATTTTCTCGGATTGGTCCAGAGAAATTCTCGATTTGAACTGAAATTTCTCAGTTGATCCAGAGGAAATATCTCTGGTTTGGACCCCTTGAACTAGTCCTCACATGTTGTCCAGAGAAATTTGGCAACCTCTTCTTTTCCAACTTTCTCTGGATTGCTCGATAGCAAAGTTGCTGTTGCTTGAAGAAAGGGTTGCTACGTTGTCTGGAGAAATTTTCAAATGATCCAATTTTACTTATCATTTGTCATCATATTTGGTTTGGGAATCACCTTCGGAGGATGGACTTTCATAACGTTCTAGGCTTTCTTCACCTTCCTTCTAGTAGGTTGGTTTCTTCTTGGTACTTCTTCAGGAATTTGATCCAGTTGTAGCCTTATGATGTGTACCAACTTTAGTTTAACAATTGCTTGTGGATTTCATGTATGATGTACCTAAAATTACCAGAAATACTCTGATTTCCATTTTGGGAATTGGATGAGACATTTTCAAAACATAGAAAATCAAAAAAATTGAACAAACCAGAGAAATTTCAAATTTCTCTGGTTTGAAATTTCTCTAGATAGAATTTCTCTGGATCAAATTGAGAGACCTTAGATATTATGAAAATATTAAATGTCCTTTATACTATAAAATCTTAATACCAGGGACCCTAAAAAAATTCTTTTATCTTATTAACTATTTTAGCCTATTTTATCTTTTTTGTGAATTTTAGCCCAAAAAAAGCCAAACCTTGGCTTTCCAAACAAGGCCTTTTATTAGCTCACACATTTTTTCCATTATTGTATACTAGCGTATCACCCGTACTATGCACAGATTGTGTTTACAATTATTTATATATGTGAATTGCGATTTTTAAATGTCTTCTTTTTTCTTTCTTTTTTTAAATGCCGTCTTTTTTTCATTTTTTATATTATATTAAAGTTTAATATTTTGACAATAATCATATGTGTTAGACTTTTCAAGGAATTAAATGTTTTTTTTATTATATTATATTAAAGTTTAATATTTTGATAATAATCATATGTGTTGAGACTTTTCAAGAAATTCATATGTGTTGAATTTCAAAGAATTTTTTTTATGTTTGTTTGTTATTATGAGAATAAAACTTAAGGATTAAGAGAAATTAATAAATATTAAATTTTTTTTTTAAATCGAAAAGTAAAAAATTTAAATTGAGAGATTGAACGTACCGAAGGCTTGGCTAAAAAACCCTCCTTTTACTTTATAGTATAGATATGGATGCGTCTCTCTCTCTTCTTATTCTCTCTCCTCTTATTTTCTCTCCTTTCTCCATTGACATCTCACACAAACACACGAGCACCACCACCGACCACCACCAGCCACTGCCCCTCCGATGATGTTAGTTACCCGAGCACCAATCGATTGATTCCGAGCCACAGTGATGTTAGTTACCCGAGCACCGATCGATTGATTCCGAGCTTGGCGTTATTCTAATTCCGAGCTTGGAGTTCGATTCTGATTCTGAGCCCCTTCCACGGATTTGATTTTCTTTGTGAGTTTCTAACTTATTCAGTTTCCATTCGATTAATTCGGTATATACTGTTGCTTGCATATATATATTTTTTGGGTTTCTATTCAATTAATTCGGTGAGAGCCTTGAATTGCATCCCTTATTCGATTAATATAGTTTCTCCTCTCTCATCTCTCTTTGATTTTGATTTGATTTCTATTCAATTAAGCTAAATTTTTCTCCTTTGCAGTTTCATTTCAACTTTATGATCTCAAGCAGCAAGGATTCATGAAGAGACAGGAGGTTATGAGGTATTTTGAATTTTGTTGTGTTTATAGCTCTTCAATGAAAATTTCTATTGATTTGGTTAAATTTAAATTTTGCTTTGTTCTGAATTTTGATGGAGATATTAGTTGCTTGCTTAGTATTATTAAATTTAACTTGCAAGAAAGATATAGAGATCATAGATGCTCTTAGCAAGTTGCTTGACTTTAAGACTTGTATATAGAGATTCCAATAATTGACTTGAAGCTTTAACTCCCTCTTAATCAACTACCAACCGTCTCTGCTTTATTGTGAGAAGAATCGTGGTAGCAATGATAACACACATACATGGATCTCTTTGAGCTGCCCCTGTTTGGCCATTGAAAAAGCATTTGCCAAACACCACTTAACATAGTACTTTATTGTTTATTCATTTCGTATTATTCATCTATTTTAGCAAATTACATCGGCATATTGCAAAGTGGGTCTGCTATGTTCACACATAATGCTCTATCGGATTATATCCCAATGTTTGGGAATCACCTTCGGAGGATGGACTTTCATAACGTTCTTGGCCTTCTTCACCTTCCTTCTAGTAGGTTGGTTTCTTCTTGGTACTTCTTCAGAAATTTGATCCAGTTGTAGCCTTATGGTGTGTACCAACTTTAGTTTAACAATTGCTTGTAGATTTCATGTATGATGTACCTAAAATTACCAGAAAATACTCTGATTTGCACTATTTTGGGAATTGAATGAGACATTTTCAAAACATAGAAAATCAAAAAAATTGAACAAACCAGAGAAATTTCAAATTTCCCTGGTTTGAAATTTCTCTGGACCAGAATTTCTCTGGATCAAATTGAGGGACTTTAGGCATTATGAAGATATTAAATGTCCTTTATATTATAAAATCTTTATACCAGGGACTCTAAAAAAAAACTCTTTTGTCTTGTTAACTATTTTATCCTATTTTATCTTTTTTATGAATTTTAGCCCAAAAAAAGCCAAACCTTGGCTTTCCAAACAAGGCCTTTTATTAGCACACACATTTTTTCCATTATTGTATACTAGCATATCACCCGTGCTATGTATGGATTGTGTTTACAAATTATCTATATATGTGAATTATAATTTTTAAATGTTTTCTTTTTTTTTTCTTTTTTTAAATGCCATCTTTTTTTTCATTTTTTATATTATATTAAAGTTTAATATTTTGACAATAATCATATGTGCTAGACTTTTTAAGGAATTAAATGTCTTTTTTTTATTATATTATATTAAAGTTTAATATTTTGATAATAATCATATGTGTTAGACTTTTCAAAGAATTAAATATCTTTTTTTTATTATATTATATTAAAATTTAATATTTTGATAATAATCATATGTGTTGAATTTCAAAGAATTTTTTTATATTTATTTATTAAAGTGTTATTATGAGGGAAAGATTTGAGAGTTAGAAAAAATTAATAAATGTTAAATTTTTTTTTTAAATTAAAAAATTAAAAAATTTAGATGGAGAGGTTGTAAAAACCGTCATTTTATAGTATAGAGATAGATACGTCTCTCTCTCTTCTTATTCTCTCTCCTTTCTCTCGATTGACATCTCACACAAACGCACGAGCACCACCACCGACCACCACCAGCCACTGCCCCTCCGATGATGTTAGTTACACGAGCACCAATCGATTGATTCCGAGCCACAGTGATGTTAGTTACCCGAGCACCGATCGATTGATTCGGAGCTTGGCGTTATTCTAATTCCGAGCTTGGAGTTCGATTCTGATTCTGAGCCCCTTCCACGGATTTGATTTTCTTGGTGAGTTTCTAACTTATTCAGTTTCCATTCGATTAATTCGGTATATACTGTTGCTTGCATATATATTTTTTTTGGGTTTCTATTCAATTAATTCGGTGAGAGCCTTGAATTGCATCCCTTATTCGATTAATTTAGTTTCTCCTCTCTCATCTCTCTTTGATTTTGATTTGATTTCTATTCAATTAAGCTAAATTTTTCTCCTTTGCAGTTTCATTTCAACTTTATGATCTCAAGCCGCAAAGATTCATAGAGAGACAGGGGCTTATGAGGTATTTTGAATTGTGTTGTGTTTATAGCTCTTCAATGAAAATTTCTATTGATTTGGTTATGTAACATGTTTTGATGGTTTGAATGTCTCTGTTATTACAGAAATTTTTTCCAATTGCTAGTTGAATTTTGCTTTGTTCTGAATTTTGATGGAGATATTAGTTTCTTTGTTAGTATTATTAAATTTAACTTGCAAGAAAAATATACTTGAAGTAGGAACAGAGATTAGTCAAAATTTTATAAAAGTCATGTTTATTAGCTAACTTTGGCATAATTATTGATTATTAATAAGGTGTATGAATTTTGGAGAAATTGATTAGTTACCTTGCTTAGTATGAAAAATGGACTTGTTAAAAAGATGGTTTGATTTGGAGTATTTTGGTATTTAAAATGTTTTTTTTATATTTTTTATTGTTCTTACAGTGCTAGTTTAGCTCTATGAGAATGCCCTTGTCCTTCATTCCTTCCTCCCAGTTTTTAGAACAACTATTTGGGATTGAGTTGAGTTAGGCAATGTATGTGAAAACAAACATGAGCACTTTGATTATGATTTTCGTTTTCGGGTTTGCTTGTCGTTTTAGAGCAATTGAATTTGGATTCTTATTAATTGGAAGAAAAAAGTTTTGCGGTAGAAAGGCCATAAATGGTAATTACTGGTTTTTAGGCAAGAGATCAATATGGAAATTAGATTTTTGTTTTGTTACTTTAATGATATACAAGTCAGTTACATCAATTCACTGGATTGAAATTTTCTTTGTTGTCTATCTATGAGCCTCTGTGAAGGCCACTAACCCAATTTTTCTAGGTTAATAAATGATTAATCATTTATGTTCAATATGCCTTTGCCTGCATAAGGGATGATTTAGTTTAGATTGTCTTTTTTGTTTTTGTTGGGCAAGAAGGGTGTACTGTTTCTCAATCTCTGATTCAGTAATAAACTACTGCTAGATTTATTTATGCCATATGCTTGTTGATAATGTGGATGCTTCCACTTCATTAATGTTTTTTCCCACTTGGGAAGTTCTTGGAACTCTAATTGTTGCGAAACATGTTCTCTCTTAACCTCAATTGCTTTGTATAGGAAAGTCATGATGTCTTGGGGACTTCCTTATTTTAGAAACTGCTTTGATGACGAATGAGTACAAATTACTAATTTATGTCTTACTCTTTTGAACTTTTGCCTTGGCATATTAATTGGAATTGAAGTTTTGATTGGAGGTAATATAACAGTTTAGCATTATGATTGCCCTTTGCCCTTCATTTCTGAAAGCCATCTAGAATTAAATTCTAAAATGGGAGGTATATATGAAAACTATAGAATAACAAAGGTTATGATTTAAAACTTGTGAGATAAAAATAGCATATTTTCAAAACTTGGGTTTGGAAAACAAATTCCAAATTGCTTGAGTTTCTCGTTTGGGAACAGGCTAATTTAGTAACTTTTTGGCTATTTGGCTAAAATATGAGCTAAAAAAAACTAGTATGTTTGGGATGACTTTTTGGTTTTTTACGGAAAGATGTGCAAAAAGTAGAGAGAAAAGAGAATCTTTGACTTTTTGGTTTGGGTTGTTGGCTTTTTGGCTTTTTTAGTAACTTTTTGGCTTTTTGGCTTTTTGGCTAAACCTGCCTGTTGCCAAACGAGGCCTGAGTTTGAAAGATCTGTTATTAAAATAGCATGGTTTGATAGAACAATCCTTTAACCAATTTTAGTACTCTATTCATTGAAAATTAAATAAATATAACTACTAGTAGTAATAGTAAATGTGAGGAAAAGAATCACAAATCTTCAAAATGCAGAGCTATATACAATTTCAGCCTCTATCTAGAGCCAAATGCAGTTTCAATTTCTTGTTTATCTTATTTCCTTTGTTGTATACTTGTCTGTAACTAATCCTACCCAAAACTTAAAAAAATTTGTTATCTAAATGTAATTCAACAGCGGCAAAATGATTCAGATTAACCATTTTTTCGTGTAAATAATTTTGATAAATAACAAATAAAATGTAGCATACAGCGTGAATCTTTTTGGTAAATCACTTGTGAGTAGCTTATGTTTTGTACTAACTAGCTGACACATTCTTGTTACTAATTTGTAAAAAGTCATCGTAGTCACATTTGGAGCAGATTATTCACAGTAACAGTAGCAGAATTTGTTAGCTGCAAATCCTGAAAAAATTTGATGCATTTTAATATCTAATTTAACTAATTAGGCAATTCTGATGACAATGATAATGAAATTTGAACTCAAAAGAACTTTACCCACTCAGTCAAAGGAACTTCACCCATAGTGTACTAATGCACAATAAATACAACTATTAACCACCCAATAATAAATATTAATTGTCAAAAAATTATCTCATTGGCCCTTTTTTTTAGTTTTTAATCAAATTTAATATTCAATTCAAGAGCTGCTTTGTCTTTTTTGTTTTGCTTATGTTAATGGTGGTGGTGGTGGTGATATATGTTGATTAATCAAATTTAATATTTAATTCAAGATATGCTTTGTCTTTTTTGTTTTGCTTATGTTAATGGTGGTGGTGGTGGTGGTGATCTCAATATCAGCATCCCATGTCATGTCATGTCATGTCCACATCTTGTGTCCATATCAATACAAAACATGCTTTCAACTTTTCCCTTTCTGAGTTATCTGGGCTCTACAATCACCAACCACGTTGATCATCTCTGGATTTGAAGGGGTGCTTGTGTTTCTAGCTAAAAACAAAAACTCAAAGGAACTTTACCCACTCAGTCAAAGGAACTTCACACATAGTGTACTAATGCACAATAAATACAACTATTCCTTTTTCTTTTTTTTCTTTTTTTGGTAAATAATAAATCATAACTATTCCACCTACAAATATAGAGTCATGAACCTGTAAACCTGGCTTTCAAAGTGGCCACTGGAACTATAGACAAGTTATAGTTATAAAACACCTAGATTTGATCCTAATTTGACAGGATAGCTGGAGAAAACCCAAAATGCTAGCAAAACACTTTATTTAAGCCTTAATTTGTTACTTTACCATCATTATCCCTTCTCTTTCAAAACAAATACTTAAATTGTTATATTTTGAAATAAAGCAGAACAAACTAAACAGTATATAACAGACTTATAGTGATAAAAACAACAGAGGTCAATAAAAAAGAAAGCAATAACTTCTTGATTATATCAGTTCCTAATTGTTAAAAAAATTTGGGCAAATGGGAAAAACCTATCAGAAATCAATAGACTATGGAAGATATATTTATTTATGTTTTCTTAGTATTTTAGTCTATTTATGTTTCTGTATTTCATGAAATCAAAGCTGCATGAGGTGCAAATATATTTATTACTATAGTGATGACATATGATTGAATGAATTTAGCTATGATTGAATGAATTTATGGCAAATATATTTTAGACTTATTTCGGTACTCTTCTACTTTCTATTTCCTTTCCTGTTTACTGTTCATATGATTGAATGAATTTAGCTAATGTGCCAGCTGCTTGATCTACCCTATTTTCACCCACTTATTTTAGTTAATGTGCTTCACCTTTGAGTAATTCTATGTTTAGGACTTTGTGTTATTCTTTTTCCATGGAACTATGCTTCAATAACAAATTGCATGGTAATAAAAATGTGTTGATTAGATATCATAGCACTTAGCTTCTAGTTTTGCTCAATAAGCATCGATACTTAGGTACTAAGCATACACTATGGAGTTAATTTACCTTGACTAGATGCTAATTTTCAGCCTACTAATTAGTACATCAGTATGGCCGATGCCATCCCAAATTTTTTTTTATCAGTTGTCTGGTTAGTTTACACACATTTCAATAATATAAAATTACCATAAAACATAAAATCTAATCATAAAGATCTCCATCTTAACAATTTTGATTTTTGAATACCTTTCATTGGAAGTTGACTCATTTACTTGGGTTTGGATCCAGAGATTACATGTAAGAAAATTTGAAAGCAAGGTGCTGGACTTAGAACAACAACTCGATGAGATAAGAGCCATGCTTATCAAAGAAAGAAGGCAAAAAGATGTAAGAGGAAAAACTAAACATGATAATACAATGTTTGATGATTTAATTCAAGCAAATTTTGATTCAAATCATTTGTTATTTTATATTTAAATCACTTGCACGTTTGTCTTTGAGTGTAGGGTACCTATCCCTCCCAAAGAAGCTCCGATCTACTCCAATCTACTCCTCATGACAACCTTCCAACTTCGGTGAGTGAAAATAGTATTTTCAGAATATTTTTATCTACTCCTCATGTCTTTAATTGTTGGAATTCTGTGGTAGCTATATGCTTAATGTAGTGTTTTTATGGTTTTTTAGGTGAATGAAGTTGGTTCTATTACTGAAAGCATTGAAGCTATGAAAATATCTAAGCGTGTTGGTTCTTCAATTGCAAACGTTCCAATTTGTTTAGATACGGTAAGTTATGCTCTTTTTAGAAGTCTTAGTTGTTATGATATGGTAATTAGTTATACATTATTGGCATCTTCTTGGGGCTGTGGATATTGACAATGTTGGTGGTATTAATGATTCTATCTAACTACAATTATGATTATACCAAATTTGGATTTTGGGGGATCATACATTAATCTTCTTCTAGTGGCTTTTATGTTTGTTTTTAGTTTTCTTAATTATAGTGATCAAACTGGGAATGTCATAGGATCTGAATTCCCTTTTCTAGCTCAGTGAAGTTTTCTTTCTTTTTTGGTTCTTGAATTCCCTTTTCTTGTAATTTAATTGCCTGTCTTTATACTATGTATTGAGATAAAAAGCAACATACCTGCATTAACTGTTTTACTGTTAGTGATTTGTCTATTTGTCTTTTAACCTCTGTTGCTCTGTAATTTCAATCTTTAATTTTCTTGGTTTTCGTGAATGTGGGACTTTCATTTGTGAGAGGAGCTTCAATCTGGAAGAAATCAGTGATAGAGTTTATGATGTAATTGAAGTTCTGTTATGGCTGATTAATTGTAGAATATGCATCATATAATATCTAGGGTTTCTGTTGTGAAGTATATCATACCTTCCAAAAATCATCGACCGACTCGAGTTGTGAAGTATATCATTAATGTTTAATTTATTACTTTTTACAACTTTACTTGCATGCCGTAAATGGCGCTCAGCTTTTCACGGCATGTCATATAACGGTATTTGTGTGCATGCCGTGAAAGAGTTTTTACGACATGCATTGCAAGCCGTAAAAATTCAATTTTGATGTAGTGCATTACCACACTACCACAAAATGTGTGATTTCATTACTGAATTACAAATTATCATAACTCTTACCAGAAAAATATATAATATTTACTATAAAAATGCATAACATTTACTTCAAAAATACATAACAGATACATATGATACACATCCTTTGAAAGGGTGTGTAGCGTAGTTTTTACCCTTTTAATTTTATTATTGCGTGATAAACATTTGCAAGAAACACTAGTTTATATAGCATTTTTTCTTCCTAATATGTTGTGTAACCATAGAAAAGTTACATTTCATCTTCTCTTTGTTTTTGGATTGGTGAGAAAGCTAATGATAAGACAATACAAATTTTTATTATTTATTGACATATCTTAGACTATTTTTTTCCTACAAAAGTAAGCTTGAGTAATTTTAAATGAAGGATGATATTTTTTATTTTTTATTCAATTTTAAAAAAATTAAAGTAATTAGACTACAATAGTTGAAAAAACATTGACTTAAATCTTTGTACGAACATGATTTTACACACATGAATAAAATGTGACTAGAACTCTCATTAAGCCTTTAGCTAGTAAAACAATGCCTAGACGATGAACTAATCTGGTAGACATGTTTCGGAAAAGCACCTCTCTTATGGCTAAGGCAAAACTTGGGATCAATAGGGAAAGGAAAGAGGGATTTAGGGTTATGTACGCGTAAAAGAAATCGAATCCTTTATATGTTGATCTTGCTTGCTTTTATAGCCTTTTCTCATGTGGATTGGTATTGCCCAAACAATATTTATGAGGACTCTCTGTTAAGCAAATAAGTTTATCCAAACTCCCTAAAGTCATGCATGCAATGAACATTTACATTTCAAAATAAGCACGGCGAAGCTAGCTGGCAATCGATGCCCGACAATCTGATCGACCACCTAGCTCATACAAGCCCTATGCATAAATGAATTAGCTATATTATCAATTTAAAAATATGTATTGTGAATATTCAATTAATAATTTCTTATCTCAAAAACCTAGAAATTAAGTTTTGAATAATATTAAAATGTAAAAAGCCTTATTTTAAGTTATTATTTTAGACTTCAAATTATTTTGAACAGACTCTTCTTTTGAATATTTTATGATTCATTTATACGTACGTAGAAGTGATGTTCCTTCAAAATTTTATCATTGCCAATTGTTTAAAAAGTAGCCTTGGTACATCCCAAAAGTTGGAGAAGGGATATCAACTGTGCCTTTGAGCACAACAAGAGATACTATGCCTACTCAAATAATTTGATTTATTTTAGAATGGCCAAAAAACGTTTAAAGATATATTTAGAAGTACCCTTTCCTAAAGCTAAATACTTTAGCAGAGAGGATACAGGTAGTGACAAGGGCACCCTAAATACCGATTAAGCCCATTATATTAGTAATGTTAGGAATACTAATAGATAGGGCTGGGTATAGGGTTATTCAAACTGTCTAAGTTGAACCAATCTGCATATAAATAGGCTGTTTCATAGACACAATATGGACCGATGCGGTTTGGAATACGGCATGATTGTGAGTTGCGGGTGGGTTGCCGGTTTAACCCGCACCCGCAAGAAACCGCCCGCATTTAGACTTTTTTTTTTTTTACCTAGACCGTTGTTATTTTATTATTGCATTTTAGATGAATGTAAAAGTTAGTGAAGAATTACTTTTAGGTAAGTTTAGAATTTTTAATGATTTATTTTAATTGTATTGTTGAGTAGTAGATAGTGAATGAGATTGATGATCTAGTTTACAATTTTGAAAGATGTGCTTGTGTTAGTTTATGATTTGATTTAAAAGTTTAGGATTTTGAATGATTTGTTTGTGTTAGGAATTAATTTTGTTGTGTTTTTAATTTTATAAGTTTTAATTCATTAATTATTAATGCTGAAGCATTTTAGAAAATTTGGGGGGGGGGAGGAAATGGCCAAAAATAAATATTTACAAAATGGGGAAAAAAATGCTCCAAAATAAATTTTTAAAGAAAAAAATCCAAATCACAAACCGACCGCACATCGGCGAACCCTATCCGCACAAACCGCAACCCGCACTGTGGACAGTTGTGGGTTGAATTTTTTCCAAACCACATATATACGGGCCACTTTAAACCAATCTGCAAACTGTCCAAAATCGAATTGCGACCACCCCTACTAATAGATATACCATATAAAACACATACTTATTTATGAGTTTAATCTCTTGACTTGAAACTAACATAATATAATATCTAATTAAGTATATTTATTGATACATTTGATAGTGTACATGGAGGCTCTTTCAAATTTCATTACCCACAAAACCATATATGGATTGTAAAAAAAAAAAGTTTAATAGAAACATTTCAAAAATAATTTTATATAAATATTTTATTTAGATTGCATCATCCATTTAAAAATTATTTGGACTGCACACAAGATATGGTTCCGATTCCGAACGAATGATAGTTGAGATAGTTTCGAACACTCACTACTCCTCACTGTGACAGTTTTGGAAACTAAACTGTGTCTACACCAAACGAAGTTCTCATTCAACTGATAATCCATCATCCAATTTTCTTTGGTAAGTGAACGCCTATCTTGATATCTCTGCAATTTACTTTCTCATAGACAATTCAACGAATACCCATCATGCAAAACAAATCACACCTCTAATTTTTGCTCTTCCCGAATTGAATTCTTTCTGATAATATTCATCAATGGCTGTTTTGGTGTAGTAATGACAATTACACTGCCCTACCTACCTGATAATAATAGACAATACCACTCGAAGTACAATGGGTCTATGGTGAATTGGAAGAAACATAGGTGAAAAATGGTGGGTCTTTGTGGGTCTGTGATGAAAAGCTCACATGGGTTAATGGCAGTGAATGGGAAGCCAAATGGTGGTTTGTCTTCTGAGGAAGCAATTAGGGTTTTGAAGTCAATTTCTTCAGACCCAGAGGAAGCTTTTTCATTCTTTAAGTCTGTTGCTCAGCTTCCTAATGTTGTTCACACTACCGAAACATGTAATTACATGCTTGAGCTCTTGATGGTTCATAGGAGGGTTGGTGATATGGCTGTTGTATTTGATTTGATGCAAAAGCAAATTATCTATAGGAATTTGAATACTTATTTGATCATATTTAAGGCTCTTCATGTAAAAGGAGGGATTCGGCAAGCCCCATTTGCACTTGAGCGGATGAGAAAAGAAGGGTTCGTTTCGAATGGGTATTCATACAATGGGCTGATCCATTTGCTTCTTCAGTCCAAATGTTGTAAACAGGCTCTGGAGGTTTATAGAAGAGTCGTTTCAGAAGGGATTAAGCCTAGTCTCAAGACCTACTCCGCGCTTATGGTAGCATCTGGGAAGAGAAGGGATATTGAAACTGTCATGGGCTTACTTGAAGAGATGGAGAGTTTGGGGTTGAGGCTGAATGTGTATAATTTCACCATATGCATTAGGGTTCTTGGGAGGGCAGGAAAAATTGATGAGGCTTATGGTCATCTGAAGAGAATGGATGACGAGGGCTGTGGACCTGATGTAATTACTTATACAGTTCTCATCGATGCTCTTTGTCATGCTGGGAAACTTGACAAGGCAAAAGAAGTGTTTCTAAAGATGAAATCCAGCAGCCATAAACCTGATCGAGTAACTTACATCACCTTGTTGGATAAGTTCAGTGACCGTGGAGATTTGGACACTGTAAGAGAATTTTGGAGCGAGATGGAAGCAAATGGTTATGTTCCAGATGTTGTTACTTTCACAATACTTGTTGATGCTTTATGCAAAGCAGGGAAGCTTGATGAAGCGTTTGGTACCCTTGATAACATGAGAAAGATAGGGATCTTGCCAAATCTACATACTTATAATACATTAATAGGTGGACTTTTGAGAGTTGATGGATTGAATGAAGCGTTAGAACTTTTTGATGGTATGGAATCATTTGGCATGAAACCTACTGCTTACACGTATATCCTTTTCATTGACTACTACGGCAAGTCAGGTGAACCTGACAAAGCTATTGAAACTTTTGAGAAGATGAAACTCTGTGGAATTGTTCCTAATATTGTTGCTTGTAATGCATCTTTGTATAGTCTAGCGGAAATGGGTAGACTTGGGGAGGCAAAAGGTATATTCTATGGACTTAAAAAGAGTGGACTAGCTCCAGATTCCAATTATTCTCTGAGATGATAGAAAAGGGATGTGATCCTGACGTGGTTAATATCAATTCTTTGATTGACACTCTTTACAAGGCTGATCAAGTAGATGAGGCATGGGCAATGTTTTGCAGAATGAAGGAGATGAAGCTTCCTCCTACTTTTGATAATAGTGATATGTGTTAAATTTTTCAAGAATTTTTTTTGTACGGTTCTTAATGCATTACAGTTTTATTATAAAGAAATTTTGATCAAATCTCCTTTTATTCTTTCTACAAACCCATTTAATACACAAACTTGAGACTATGCTCCTCTTTCATTAACAAATTGATACTTAACATTTTGTTTTCTAAAATTTTAACACAAAAATGGTGGACCTATGATTTAAACCAATAACTATTTATTTGGAGCAACACCTAAACATATTTCAAGAGTATAGAATAATTTTCACAAACACATCATTTAGCTTTTCAAATGTTATGTATATGCCACCTAAAAGGGGTATACAATGAAGAAAATAAAGTGGTAGAAATACATAGTAAAATAACTATCTCATAAACAAAAAAGTAACAATAAAAAGGGAACACAAACTTTTTTATCTTTACATCATATAAAAACCATAAAATTTCTTTAATACCATTGAAGAACTTAATTTAAACTCTGAATGTCTTCAATATTCCACCATTTCAGCCTGATACGATTTTTTATTCCTTATTATTATTTATGAACAAAATAAAAATATTACTAATACAAACCAAAAGTACGACAACCAGATTACGTCAATAAAAAATAAAAAGAAGGATTAAGGTAAAAAAATATCATAGCTTAAAGAACACGATACGATTGCCTAGTGAAACTTGCTCTGATTTTCCTTGCCAATGGGAGATATAGGCAGAGATGAGGACGGAGGAGCTTTCAGATGCTTGTCGTTGATGATTGGAGTTATGGGTTGTTCACAGCCGTTAATATCACCGATTTTTCGAGGCTTAATCGGAAGAACTTGCCGAAGAGGAATGTCTGTGTTGTTGACCGACTGTTGAGGAGGAAAGAAGAAATCAGTAGGGAAGAATTTGTATTGAAGGCCAGCCATGGAAGTTCTAAGAAAAAAATGTTGAGAACTTATTGTGATTATAATGGAAATATGACTTTGCAATATCTGTATATATATAGACTATAATATGCTTTAGAAGTCTTTTTTGGTTATGTCCAAATGTATTTACTTTACACATAGTCATTACAGAGGCAGGCACTCTTGGGCTCCAAGTCACCTGCTTAGCGTGGACGGCTGCAATAAACTAAGGTGTGGTTTGGGGTTTGGTTTTTTAGTGACTTTTCAATTTGTTAGTATTAAAAAAAATTAATGTATTTAAATATGATTTTTTTTTTTAACCATGTTGCAAACTCAAAAAAAATTATGGTTGAGTTTGATTTTATACATAGACTACACAATATATTACTATTAAAACACATATATTAAACAGAGAATGTAACGCTTACATGAGACATAATGTGGGTTTTATATGTGAGACCCACATATGTGAAACATATGTGTCATATTTTGTGTTTGGTTTCTATACATCTAAACTTATTGCTCATTCAATCTATACCACCCACATGCATTTTGGGAAGAATCTAGTCTCCAAATTCTGTATTTCTAAACTAACTCTTTTTAAATTATATTGAAAACATGAATGATTAGTGTATATGATTTGATTTTTTTTTTAAAAAAAATTAAATTAAAAAATTAAGTTGTCAAATTTGGCTTAAAAATAAATAAATAAATGAAGAAGAGTGTTTGGGTGTTTGTATTTGGGTTCTGTTTGGATTCGCAGAATATTTGGGGGTATTTTGTCCCATTCCTATCAGCAAAAGAAGAAGAGTAGGGCCGCCATATGAAAACAAATTCAACTGAACTATTTCACCTTATAACTTATGTTGGCTTCGTTAAAAAAGTTAGTTCCAAATTTAATTGAATGTAATTTTGTTTATTCAACTTGTATGTACAATGAAATTGTATAAAAATAGTACCCCACTCCCAAAAAATATATATATATATATATAATTAATTTATTGAAGCTTTGTAATTAGCTCAATTAAGGAGTGTTTCGAAAAGTTGATAAAAAATTGATTTTTTTTCTTTTTGATTTTTTTGGTGATTTTCAAAAAAAATTGACTTTTTGATGACTTTTTTGAGAAAATTTGGTACTTAACTTTTTACCAAGTTCTCAAATTACTCTAATCTCATTTAAAATTGATTCAAAAGATAAACAAACAACTCCAACTAACAATCTATTACTCTGTTTATTTACACCCTTAGCTATATATATCATCGAATATGGAGATATCACTACTTTTTTATTATTATTATTATTTTAACAAGGATGGATTGTTGAGCTTTGTGAGGCTCAATATGAATTTCACTTTGACAGTTTGAACTTTTCATTTTGTTCGACTATTTATATGGATTATCTACAAAAAAAAAAAATAAATAAAATAAATAAAAATTTATGTTGATCTAAACTTTTTAATCTGCAGTTGTAGGCAATCTGTAGGGGAAAAAAATTTTTTTTACCATCTACATGAATAGCCGATCAAAAAAAAAAAAAAAAAACATCTACATGAATACACAAAATAAATGTTTTATTTATATGTCAAATATATTATATTTAGGAGAAATTACAAACACACCCCTGAGGTTTACTTTACAAATTATCCCATATGGTTCTACAAATTACATTATGCCCCTTAAGGTTTCTAATTGCATAACAAATAAATCCTTTTATTAATAAATCACTAATTATCCCGTATGGTTCTACAAATTACATTATGCAACTTAAGGTTTCGAATAAGATAACAAATAAATCCTTTTATTAATAAATTACTAAGTTAATTAACAGTTTTTAATAATGTTAAAATTTTATTTCAATTAATAATTCAGCTAATTTTATTATTGTATAAGTAAACAGTTAGAAATTTCACTTTTTCAATTAATTCTGTTAAATAAAAAATTCTGACATGGAGGTATTTGTAATTTTTCAAATCATAAGAAACAATTCATATTTTAAACAAACCTTATGGGGTGTTTTTGTAATTTATCCTTACATTTAAAAGCAATAAATGAAAGACTCCTCGTTTGAGAGCAGGCTTTTTTAGTAACTTTTTAGTCTTTTAGCTAAAATATAATATAAAAAAATTAGTATGTTTGAGATGACTTTTTAATTTTTTACAAAAAGATGTTTAAAAAGTAGAGAGGAAATAAAATCTTTGACTTTTTAACATAAGTTGTTGACTTTTTTATTTTTTTAATAACTTTTTAATTTTCATACTAAAAAGTGATATTGCCAAACACGCCTCATAAGCATATATACAACAAAAATAAAAAAATAAAAAAATATGGGATTCACCATTTTAGAAGCATGCAAGACCACGCATAGTATTTTGGCATTGATTAAGACCCATCATTTAATTTGGATCCTTAATTAACTCCTAACTTTTGCTTACTTTATTGCAGAGTCGCATGAATCATGCCCTTAAGCATCCTGATACCCCACTTTTGTTTTTCTTTGTTTAGTATCATGTGGTCTGAATTGGGTATTGAGATTGATGGATACCAAGTGGAACTCACATGTGAATTGGGTGTTCCTTCTTTATCAATCGTCACTTCAACTGAGTCATCGGATTTTTTCAATATATTGAGTGGTGTCACTCTTTCAGTATACAACTTGACATCTACAATAGCACAAGCAATAAAGGGTTGAGGATCTGTATTGATCTCCTTTGTTTCTCTATTGCATAAGGCCATCATTATCTTTTGATGTAGAGAGGAAGGCACACATTTGTTGGTGTGAATCTAATTCCTGCCAAGTAAAGCATTATACTTAGCATTACTATCAATAACAAAGAATGCCGTCATGCAATCTTTGGTTCCCACACTCAGGTTGATGGGCAAAATACCTTGAACCATCTGCTTATTCCCAGCAAAACCAGCAATGTTTGTGTTGGTTGGGATTAATCTGGAGTTCCTTTTTCCCAATTTCTTCAAAGAGGATATCGAAAGCAAGTTCATTGATGTCCTATTATCCACCAATAGCCTATTCATTTGTATTACATCGAAAAAAAGCCTTAATATACAAGGGCTTGACATGTTGTGTCATGGATGTTGTAGGATACTCAAAAGGATATGAGAGATTAATACTCACTTCTTCATTCTCATCTTCAGTTTTCATTGGTGGGGCTACTTCAGACTCATCTTGAACCATGCTAACCTATGAATCTTCATTAGAAACTGGAATATGGTCAATCTCCTGGCCTTCTTAGTTTTCATCTTCAGCCTGGAACTCCTATGGCAGTATATGCACCATAATTACTGATACTGGAGGAAATGAGCCAAACTAAACTGCTAGCTGCACTTATTTCTTTTCCAAGCTAACTTGTTCAGTTATTTCAGAAGTATCTTCCATGCTGCACTCCGGTACTTCAGTACTAGTAACTTCCTTCGAATGGTCTGCCCCTACTGGTTTTTTGACCAAAAATGTCTATTCAACCATGAAGGCTTCAAACATCTCATCCTCAACCATTTCTTTCCTTTGGCCTAGTTCCATTTCTCCTTCTATCTCACTGTTGCTTTCCATCAAGGCCTTTTCAAGACCTGCTAAGCTGGACCTTTCCTTGGCTTTTGGTTCAGTGTGAACTTTAGCTAACTGCTCTTTATTGAAACTTTTTTTGTTCTGAGGAGCCAATTTTGGACTATAAGCCAATTTTGGACTTTCGCTTTCCTCTGTCTGGCCTTTTGGCTGGATCAATGAAGAACTCTCTCCACTTTCCTTCAGATCCTTTTGGTACTGAGTGTACCTTCGCTGGATCTTCCTCTTTTGAGACCTAAAAATTATTGGAACCATATTTGGTTCCTTTGTTTTTGGATACTTTAGTAACACCCAATTATTTGGAGCCACCAAGGGAGGTTTAACCATTTTACCCTAGTCTCTAAAAACACTTCTCTGGGTAGGCATTTCCTTAGGCTTGTTTTGTATGACA